TCAACCGTAGTTTTGAGAAAGACAATTTTTTAGGCGGTGCATGGACAATGTCCATTGACATGTCCATATCAATTAATCTACAGTAGGTCTAGTAGATCTTGAGGCACTCTTCTTCTGAGTCTTCTTGTAGTAATTTGGTTGTCCATTAAATTCTTAGCAAGGTTATTCGGATGTGCTTCCAAACTTACACAATAGGCTTTAGCTCGATGGATTACTTCATCTTTGACTTTTCTTATGGCAAGATCATAATGGGTTCTTTCATTTGTAACATACCATAGTGCGCTCACTATCATCCTGAGCATTTTTGATTCTTAAATCATTTTAAACAAAAATCTCGTTATCATGTTGTAAAAGTATCGTGTTATAAGAGTATATGGGGAATTTTTCATTTTGGTCTTACAGTGGGACCGTGTTGTAAAAATACTCCTCCAGTACTCCTTTATAGGAGGATTGCCCGTATATTGTATAAGCCAAACTAGATGATGACCAAGCTTTGCTCGGCTTTTCTTTTTTTTTTTATAATGCCATCTTGTCTTTAAAGCAGTCAAAATAGTATTATTATTCGCCAGTAGATGTCGGGAAGAGTCATAAAGTTGATTATCGATAAAGTTGATTATTGAAAACACGAATAAAACAACATTTTCTGAAAATAAATCGTAGCTGGATCGATTTATCGCCCCCGAAATCTCCTGTATACTAAATTTTATGAAAATCGTTGGAGCCGTTTCCGATATTCAGATATATATATCCAAGAATTGCTCGTTTAAAGGTATAAGATAATAGAATAACAATAAAAACGCTAGATTAGTTCGTAGCAGTAGTTTTAATTAAGTAATACAGAATTTCAGAATAGTTTAATCATAGGTTACAGTAAGCTGTGGTTTGATTGTGCCCTTAGCATTACTGATGTTAATGATAATATAAAATAATGATAATCATATATTAGTTCTCATCTGACCCGCCACTTTGTCATCAAAACATTGTCATTGTTTCACGCAGTCTCAATAGGCTCCACCAGTACTGTAAATCTTGTAAATAAATTTTAATTTGTCTAATTGGGGGATTGATTCGAAACTGATACTTATAGTAAGAGGAAATGGTGGTAGGTAGATAAGATTATAAGTCCTTCTTTTTTTTTTTATTGCTTACATAGGTGGACGATCTCACAGCCCACCTGATGTTAAGTGGTTACTGGAGCCCATAGACATCCACAACGTAAATGCGCCACCCACCTCGAGATATAAGTTCTAAGGTCTCAGTATAGTTACAACGGCTACCCCACCCTTCTGGCCATAACAAGCTTTAGTTCTGGTGTGTGGTAATAATCCAATCCTGTACAGCTAAATATTGAATGGTAAAACAGATAATACTGTTTGGCATATAGAATGAACAATTACATTAAACAAATTAATGAGTTTGAAACTACGGATTGATTTGATTAGTTTTGCTACGTCGTAGGCGCCCTTCGTAGCCGCTACGGTGCTACATCATTGTGTAGCCCGCGGCTACGTTGTAATGACGTCCTATTATTAACTAACCAGGATTTGTATTGTAGACAGTGAAAACTGATGTATATTCATTTAAAGAAGTATTGAGAATTGATGATTTGGTTACGGTATAAAAATACATTTTTTTTGTTAGCTTGGCACAGCTGTTTTCCGTTTTGGAGGGGTGTTGAGTTGGATCTGTCATTTAGATCTTAAACAGTGTTGTTTTTAGTTATATCATATACTAGCTGACCCGACAGACTTCGCAGTGCCTCAATCGATAAATAAAAGACTTAAACTTTTGTATAAAATAAACTTAAAACAAACAAAACGAATCCGTCCGACGGGTCCCCCCCGTCAAAGGAAAAACAAAATTGTTATTTTTATTAATTAATTCCGAGCATTTTCTTAATAATCTACCTTTTAAACCTTCTCTGGACTTCCACAAATAATTCAAGACCAAAATTAGCCAAATTGGTCCAGCCGTTCTCGAGTTTGAGCGAGACTAACGAACAGCAATTCATTTTTATATATATGGATTATAGTGTGTAACTAAAATATCGAACAAGGTGTTACACTCGGAATACTGGCCGGAAGATCGAATGGTCTTATTAGGAAAATTATTTGAGCGTTATGCGGCGTTTAAGATAGCAAATTCACCGAACAAAACCAGAGTTGTGGTAAGAAAATTCTTGGAATTAGCACCATGGTAACACGCCTTCGCACAAGGCGTATTGTGAATGAATTTTTGACCATAAACTCAACAATTATCATCGAGCAACTTTCTAATTCGTCAGATATGCTTCCAGTCGACTTTTTTCTTGTTCCTAAACTCAAATTACCACTTCGTGTCAGCCGTTATAATTCGATAGAAGACATAAAGAAAAATCTCGGTCAGGAACTGAATTCAACTCCGGAAAAAGCGCTTAAAAATGTATTGATGATTGGTTTATTCGTTGGTGAAAGTATTGCCTTTCTGAAGGATACATATACTTTGAAGGTAATAAAATAACTTTGGATAAATAACAAAAAAACCAATTTTACTGCCATTTTTCCCAATAGAAATTTTTCCCGGTACGTTTTTGACAGAGTAGCATATCACTTGTATGGTAACGACCTTCTATTTTTATCGACCTTATATTTTGATCGCCTCGTTGGCTTAGTAGTGACTATTGTACTACAGAGACCCGAACTTTGTGAGGTTTTCGGTATTTGGGGTCTGAGTGTACTAAGTCGTGGCTTGTATGTGTTTGCAACACGCATGAGGAGTACAGGACGTTTATTTATTTATTGTTAATAATAGCTAATGATAATAGCAGAGCAAGAAGTTAATTTTAGTGATAAAATCACTTATTGTATTCACTTCATTTTGTTTTAGCTTAGAATTATGCGGAACGTAACCAAGCTTGACATTATTTAGGGAATAATCAAGAAAAACAGAAAATGATATTTATTTGCTAGCTAAATAAGCCTTGTGGTTCACGTGAGATGATTCATATGAATGTCTAGGGGCTTTTATTATGTAGCTAAAATTGTCGAGTAAATTGGCAGATGAATAGACTTTACGAGGGCGGGATGATAAGTAACTAGCCTCTACTATTTAAAATGTTAAAATTAAAAAAATATATATCTCATTTTTAAATTTGGCCACCTGTGTTCTAAATTTGAATTCGGTGGCGTGAAAATTTTATTGATTTTTTGTCATTTGAAAATATATTTCGTCAACTGTTTTCAAAATGGATAAAATTGAACAAAGAGCCATGATAAAGTTTCTTCATATGAAGGGCATGAAGGGGAAAGATGTCTATGACGAGTTAAAGAATGTTTTGAGTAAATGTGCTCCTTCTTATACCACAGTAAAAAACTGGGTGGCTGAGTTTAAACGCGGTCGTTCATGTGTCCAAGATGAAGCCCGGATGTCCAAAAAGCGTCACGACTCCGGAAGTGGTCGTGAAAGAACATGATATAGTTTTAACAGATCGACAATTGAAGTTATCTTCTACAGGTATCTCAAAAGAACGGGCACATCATATCCTAAGTGAGGAATTAAATATGAAAAAGTCATCGGCCCGTTGGGTGCCGCGATTGCTTACGCACGATCAAAAGAGGATTCGGGTGCAAAACTCAAAAGAATGTCTGGACCGTTTCAGAGTAACAAAGCCGATTTTTTACGTCGATTTGTAACAACAGATGAAACATGGGTTCATTATTGTACGCCAGAATCAAAAACTCAATCAAAACAGGGGACGCAATCGGGACGCCCGGCTCCAAAAAAAGCCATGGCTGTAAAGTCGGCTGGAAAAGTGATGGCTTCCGTCTTTTGGGATGCAGATGGGATCTTGATGATAGATTACCTTCCTAAAGGTCAAACGATTATTGGAGAATACTACGCTAATCTTCTAGATAATTTTCATCAATGTATTCAGCAAAAATGACCAGGTTTGGTAGAAAAAAAAAAATCTTCCACCAAGACAACGCTAGGGTTCGCACATGTGTTAAAGCTATGGCAAAAATCAACGAATTGAAGTATGATTTGCTGCCCCACCCATCTTATTCGCCTGATCTAGCGCCATCAGACTTCCACTTATTCCCTAAGCTCAAAACTTTTTTGGGCGGACAGAAATTTGCCACAAATGATGAAGTCATAGCCGCTGTAGAGGAGTATTTTGCAGGCCTCGAAATAAATCATTTTATGGAAGGCATTACTGCTTTAGAACGAAGATGTAATAAGTGCGTAGAGGTTCACGGAGACTATGTCGAAAGATAAAATTAATTTTATCACGGAAAGTTAAGTGTTTTATTGTTAGGCTAGTTACTTATCATCCCGCCCTTGTATCACGTAATTGTCGTCCGAAGTAAATATAATCATTAATAGGGTGTCAATTTTGACGACACGTATTGACGTATTGACGCGCAAGTAACTGTTTTTCTTTTTTTCTAACACGTGTTTGTTGCTAACACGAACCCTAGCAAGAGCCGTGCTTTGCAGAATCTACCATCGGAAACGCGACCCATTAAGAGGATCCGGTGAGAAACTCAGCTGTGTCTATGGGTTAATTTACTCGCCGAGCCCTTAGTCGCAAGCGACGGGTTCGATGATAAGCGATGACTGGTGCTTGGGGTACCTAAAAGCACCGTTAGTGGATCGGGAGGATCCGAAATGACGTGTTTTGGGTGACGTCGACTGTTTACCATTTGGTCCGCAGGATAGGCTATGTAGTTTCCGGCAGTCACGATGAGAGGAGTCTCATGTCGTGCTGCTTTATCGAAGTGCCGTATTGATGCCGACTGTAGATACTTCCCCATGGACTCTAGGTCCAGGTCGTCGTGCAGGTCGATGTTCCTGATGAACCACGGCACTTGCGGGCCGTGTGAGCGAACACTACATTTGCATAGGTCATGACGGGGCGCAAGTTACTGTGTGTTCAAAAGACTGCTATTATAGTGGCACGCTTACAGTTTTGACGCTTACGTGAGGTTCGAATTAATCGAATATCTTTTTTTTTGTTGCAGGTGATCAGCGGTGGCCTAATGCTACGGCACGAACACACATGCTGACGATATGGTGAGTTAGCATGCTATTTAAATAATAAGTGGTTCGTTTTCAATAATCGTTAATAAATTTAATAAATATTAAAAATAGTTCTACTTTTATTAAATCAAAGATACGCTGTTAAATATTGTCAAATTTAGATCATAGCAGCATTACGTACATTTTAATATTTTAAGTCAGCGCCATCTATTTTTCAAGGGAAGAACACACTTGCGAACCACTAGCGGAAGTTTCCATTTTCGCCATGGTCTAGACTCCACCCAAGAGATGGCACCACCAACATTTAAAAATTAATAAGAGTTAAAGCTTGCTTTTTTGGATTTTTGATTTTTGAGGACAGAAAACAATGGTGTATACCTTATTATTTTTTTAAGCATTCAATTATTAGTTTATCTTGGTCCCTGTATTCTTTGGATTTGTTGTATTCTAGGTTTATTTGTATTGTGGATAATTATACAGAATGAATAAAGTCGTGCAATTAAATGAAGACACGAGTGGACGAAGGGGTGAAGTACCGTTTTAAAGATTTTTGAGTTTTTACATTGAATGAAGGTGTTATGTGCCTATAAACCATATTAGACCTTAGAACCCCGGATTTAAAGGCTATTTTTAGAAATTGCATGTGATAAAGGAGTTATGTACGAAAAAAAAGTACAAGTAACAAAAGTTTGTTGCCCATTTTCTCAAAATTAACAAATTGTATCATATCCCCTTCATCCACTCATGTCTTCAAATAGTAATACTACATTTACCAAGTTCATTGTTTAATTTAGTTCACTCATTATTTATCGTAAGTCACTGAGAGCATTTTATCTGCGCAGGACACAGTATGGCCGCGGCATATAGTCTCAACTCGGTCGGAAGTCTGTCGTTGTCACTACTATGCCTTTTCGCAACAACCCTACAAGTCACAAGCGGTGAGTAAGCCTTTTAAGCTAATACAAACTTTAGGTATTTTCTACGCAGCAACTAAATTGTACTTACTGACAACTGACTACTCCCTTCACCATGCCCGTTGCCTATAAAAATGTATTAAAAAAAACATATTCAGTAAATGTATACGACGATTATTTTACACGCTACGCATCACATCCGGTTCCGGATTCATTGTTTTTCTAGTTTCAGTTTTTCTGTTCGACATGTCAGATTACTTTTTTTTTTTAAATAAGAATTCGAATCTCACAGCCTTATCTAAAAAAACAAGATTGCTTATAATAGATATAGTAGTGACGATATTTAAAAAAAAACTTATGTCGTTGCTCGAGTGACGAAAGTAGGTGTTGCTCTTTTCATACATCGGTTTGTTTTAAAAACGGTTAAGCTTAAAAAATAGTAGATCACATATTGCACGGTTTCGTAGTAATTTTCTGCTCCTATAACACCGGAATCAAGTTGATTGCGTCCTCAACGGGGGTCCAGTGATGACGTAAATTGGGGTTTCATATTGTGATGTCTACAAGTTCCGATAGTCGGACGACACCAGACGAATTCTACTGCCCATCAACAGTCCAATAGAAAACATGGCTGAACTTTCAAACATTAATGAGATTGATATCGAAAAACATTATATTTGCGGTTTCATTACGTGAAAAAATTTAAAACAAATCTCTTAAATTAGGGAACGATTAGTTACTAATGGTCAATTACTGGTGATAGGACCTCTTGTGAGTCCCCACGGGTAGGTACCACCGCCCTCCCTATTTCTGCCGTGAGCAGTAATGCGTTTCGGTTTGAAGGGTGGGGTAGCCGTTGTAACTATACTGAGACCTTAGAACTTAGATCTCAAGGTAGGTGGCGCATTTTCGTTGTAGATGTCTACGGGCTGCAGTAACCACTTAACGCCAGGTGAGATGTGAGCTCGTCCACCCATCTAAGCTATAAAAAAATTACAAGCTACCACGAATCAAGAGAAAAACAAACCAAGTCGAGTGGGTACAATAATACTGTCAAATATTTTAACATAACATAATTTCGACAATCTAATATGTATGTAGAAATACTATCTATGAAAATATATAATATATATAAAAATATATATTTTAAACAAATTCTTAATTTGATCTCTACTGATACTTTCCCGGAAGTTAGGACATTTGTATCTGTGTAGGTAGCATGGAAGCGGTGTCGTCCTCTCGTCCCGTCCTTTTCTAACGCGCTCGTAAATAAATCGTTGCATTCCTTTCTATTGCAAGGCGATCAATAAGGAGCCGATCAATAAGGACTCGAGATTCTAAATTCTCGTGTAGCCCGTTTTTTTGTATTAGGGATGAATTTTTGTGATCTTTAACGGAATATGCGATTTATAAATATTTTTTTATTCACTCATTACTTGCTCTTATTTTATTCGACGCCTTTTATTTGTTTTAATGAAAAGGGGGCTGTGAGAATAGAAAAAACACTCATGATATTTAAAGCTGCTCTTACCGTGTCCTCGATAACTGTAAAGTATTAAAAATGTTTTAAAATAAAATTAAAATAATTTAACGCGTAAAAAAAGCTTTAATTTTGTATCTACGAATCGCGAAAACCGAAGAACTGGTGGTAGGACCTTTTGTGAGTCCCCGCGGGTAGGTACCACCGCTCTGCCCATTTCTGCCGTGAAGCAGTAATGCGTTTCGGTTTAAAGGGTAGGGCAGCCGTTGTAACTATACTGAGACCTTAGAACTTATATCTCAAGATGGGTGACGCATTTACGTTGTAAATGTCTATGGGCTCCAGTAACCACTTAACACCAGGTGGGCTGTGAGCTCGTCCACCCGTCTAAGCAATAAAAATAAAAGAAAATACTCGTGTTATTTTCGTATTAATATTAAAATAAAAACCTCTATGCATGGCTCTGTTGTGATTAAACGCAAATGGCACTTGAAATTCCACATTAAAAAGAGACAAACGTATAAATCTGTTGAATTTAGTAATTTAGTAGTTAGAAAGAATGAGATAGAAATACTTATGAAGGATTCCTCTTCTGAGAGCTAAGAGCGAGTTTTTTAACGTTCTCGATATCGTAAAAGTTAACCCAGTTTTGTATGCAGTTGAAACAGCGCCCCTAGCGGCAAACGTAGGCGAACGATCGCATTCCATACAAATATGAGCTAACTTTTACGCTGTCGAGAACGTTAAAAAACTCGCACTAAGCACACTGCTGCGCGTAAACTTTACACGTGTCTTTTTACTAAACCATCTATCGAAATGAATTTTCATTTGTTTTATTTTATGAATTACATACTATACAGAGCATTTTAAATGTTTTTTTCGATTTACGGGCAAGGTGTTGCTATTGTCGAGAGTTCTTTCAAAATTTAAGTTATGAAGTCGTCGTGGCCTAAACGATAAGACGTCCGTTGCATTCGTGTCGAGCGGTGCACCGGTGTTCGAATCCCGCAGACGGGTACCAATTTTTCTAATGAAATACGTCCTTATCAAATGTGTTGACGATTGACTTCCACGGTGAAGGAATAACTTCGTGTGATAAAAATCAAACCCGCAAAATTATAATTTGCGTAATTACTGGTGGTAGGACCTCTTGTGAGTCTGCACGGGTAGGTACTACCACCCCTACCACCCACTTATTTCTGCCGCTAAGCAGTGATGAGTTTCGATTTCAAGGGTGGGGCAGTCGTTGTAACTATACTGAGACCTTAGAACTCATATCTCAAGGTGGATGGCGGCATTTACGTTGTAGATGTGTATAGGCTCCGCTAACTACTTAACACAAGGTGGGCTGTGAGCTCGTCCACCGAACTAAGCAATAAAAAAAAACTAAAAGTTGATAGGGCAACATTTAGTAGCAACCAAACCATAGTCCGTAATTATCCCATTTCAGCCCATCAATCGCTAAACCTGTCTGAATAGAACAATTAAACTCTGCCTAAGTTTGTTACAATTAAATTTGAACTGGAAAGTTTCTGCTTAATGAATTAATTGAAACAAATTGAGTATTAACTTTATTCGATTAGAATATAATTGGAACTCTGGCGGCTTTTAAAGTGGGTGGCGGCATTCACGTTGAGCATTGATGAGCTCCGATGCCCGTAGGATTAGCGTGCCTAAAATAATGTTTTGTAATCTCTGCGTTATAAGCATAGTTCACTCACACAGTGAATTGATTATTTGAATCATGCGGTTATTTAGTTTATGGAAGATGTCTAGTGTTTTTTTATCACTTTTATAGGCATACGAGCATACGGCCCACCTGATAGTGAGTCGTTACTATAGCCCATGGACGTCAGCAATGCCAGGGGCAGAGTCAACCTGCTGGCTACCTGTGTTACTATCAACATACTCAGGTGGCGCGTAAATAAACTAATGAGCGAATGGTTTAATGTTCTAAATGTTTATTTCCAAGGATTGGATAGCGATTGTATCAAAACCGTTGGGAAAAGCTGTTTGTGGTCTACGGAAACCGCTTAACATTAAATGAGGGCAGAGTCTGATCGCGTTAGAATAAAAATAAAATATATAAAAAATTTGTATATGACTAGAGCCAGTGAGTTACTATTAAGATATCTTATTCTGCAGTTGTGGTACCTGTGTGTGTATACTCAATTTTATGGATTTTTAACTTGACTTCTATACGATACTTAAACGTTGAGATATTCCAAACGTGTCCGACAGAGATAAATCGCACACCTTAAGACAAATTTAACATTTTCTCCAAAAAGGTGAAGGGCCAAGCGATATTGACTGCTATTTGGTTTCAATAAGGACGCGAGTCGTAAATGAGAGTTGGTTTCATCGTGTTTTCGAAGCGAATTTCTCGTAGGGTAGTTCGGAAATAGCTTAAGTTCCGCTATTTGTGTATACTATGTAGCGTTTTGGAGTTAATATTAAAATTTATATAAGACTTCAACTAGATCGGTTTAGATATTTGTTTTAATGTATAATAATATATTTCTTTTAGACCTCAGTAATCTTATACCTTTAAACGAGCAATTCTTGTATATTAATATATATGTATATAATCTGAATCTCGGAAACGGCTCCAACGATTTTCATAAAATTTAATATACAGGGGATTTCGGGGGCGATAAAACGATCGAGCTACGATTTATTTTTAGAAAATGTTGTTTTATTCGTGTTTTCAATAATCAACTCTTCCCGACATCTATTGGCGAATAATAATACTATTTTTCTTAATTGAGGGCAACTAACCAAGATAGCGTTATCAAAAAAAAAACCAAGCAAAGCCCGATCATCGTCTAGTTTCAATTATGTCAACAAGACGAAGGGAATTTTTAAACACGATCGAAAATAGCTACCTTGAAGCATTCGGTTTAATGCTCTATTGTATAGTATAACCGCTGACCCACTCTTCAAGCCGGGTCACCTGACATCTTCGGCAAAAATAGGAGGATAGATATTTGTTATAAGATAATCTGGTCAACTATAATAATGCTAAAACGAACTGAGGCGAGAGTAAAGGGACGAGTTGATTCTTGGCACATATTGATTGAGAGAAATATCCGCTGATATAAAAAAAATACTTTTCCTTATATTACTGGTGGTAGGACCTCTTGTGAGTCCACGCGGGTAGGTACCATCACCCTGCCTATTTCTGCCGTGAAGCAGTAATGCGCTTCGGTTTGAAGGGTGGGGCAGCCGTTTTAACTATACTTGAGACCTTAGAACTTGTATCTCAAGGTGGGTGGCGCATTTACGTTGTGGATGTCTATAGGCTGCAATAACCACTTAACATCGGGTGGGCTGTGAGCTCGTACACCCATATAAGCAATAAAAAAAATAAATGAAATGTTAACTAGTGTAAGGTTACTTGTAAAATAACTAATATAAAATTTTGCATGTTAAAATTAAGACAATTTTCAGATTGTCAAATAGCAACACTGTTGTGGGAGCAATGGCATTAGTGGGGACACGACATAATAAAAAGGCGGTAGTCTAGAAAAACGGCCCAAAAAGCGGTG